CACTGGCTGGGGTCCACCTGCACACCAAATCAAAAGACGCGAGCAAGCTTAGCAACGGACTGCACCGATGGACGGCGGATCATTTGCACGCGGGACCACATTCACGTTGAAGGCGGACCAGGTCACATTGCTGGCACATAGTTGCGCGTGATCGATGGTCATGTATTTCGTGCGCACCGTCTGAGAGTTGATGCGATTGAAGAGCGATACCGGCCCACCCGCAAGGATGCACGACGAGATGTTCCTCGTCTTGGCCGTCTTCTTCGACGGTTTCGAGATGATGGTCACCGGGGCAGAGTCAAACGTCGCCCAGGCTCGTCCCGGGGCGGCTTCTGCACCTTCAGTAGGGGATGCTGCAGGCGGATCTGCGATCTCGAGCGACAATTGAAAACTCTTCGCTTTGGCCGTCCCCGTTACATGGAGGAACTTGAAGCTAGCGGTCATGTTGCTATCCAGCGGCGCCTTTTGGTCGAAAGAGCGTTCCCCGATCTCCGACACGACAGTCATAGACAGATCTTGCCGTCGCATGTGATAGAGTGGTCCCTCGATATGCACGACGGGTGGGGGACAGAGAAACCGTTTTTCACTCCCATATGACTTTTGTGCTACGGCAGCATGAAGACAGATCACAGTGGTCATGGCCATGACACGTCCGGGATCTTGAGATGCAGGTTCGCGCACGATCCGCCGAATTTTAGAATGTGGATCATCACTTTCATTGGCGTCATGTTTGCGTTTGGAGGCGGATAACTATTGACGCGTTCAGAAGAGAATTCGGAGGCGAAAACAGCCGACGCACCTGCGGAGGCGCGCCACTCTCTACAACTGAAGATCCTAGCCAAGCTGGAGGAGTGCGCGTGGGTGGAGAGGCAAGTATCGATTTGAGCGAACTGCTGGGGATTGGAGGGGGGATATCGGAGGCTTGATTCGGAGTAGTCGAAGTGGGGCTGGGCCTCGGAGAAGACTGCTTCTGGTGGACCTACAGAATAAATTGATTCGGGGACATGGACCAAGACAACACCGGGATTACCAGAGGTCGTGGAGATACTGGGCGGGACATGCGGCCTTCGGAGATTGGCGGTCGCGGGTGGATGGTATGAAGTTATATACCGCGGTTCGCTCAAGGCATCATGGAAGAAGACATTGGGGACGACAAGCCTGGGAGTTTGGTCACCAACGAGCTACCAAATCGGGACGTTTTGACATGTTTTTCCCAGCCGTTGCATTCTCCGTCATTCTACAATTGATGTGAAGCTCTTTGAAGCTGTGTACATAGCCAGGAGTGAAGCCTGGTCACCCATTCGTGAAGTTCATACGTAAACCGGAATGGCGCAAGAGTAGCTGTAAAATAGTGGATGATGTATGATAATGCTGGTCCATGCGTAAGAGTAAAGAGTGATGATGCTATCGTCCAAGATGATGTGTCTGACTCCAGTCTCGCTCAGTTCAGCGGTTCTTTGGCCCGTCGTCCGCCAGGAAAGGGAACGCCCGGAGACTCCGCACGTGACATACGGGAGTCACGCTTCGGCACTGTGTCTGCGTCCAACTGATGCTTTTGCCAGTCTTCGACTTTCATGTGGGAGAGCCGCCTTGAGGAAGAGCCTCCTAACTTGTCGGCGCTCAGCGATCGAGAGTGCCGCGAAGTCACGGGTGGGTCGGCCAGAGTCAGGGACCGCCGGCCGCCGGCCCCGTCCTCTCGGCGCTTCTCCAGTTGAGCAGCCTTCTCCGCTTGGCGGCGGGTCACAGACTCTTTCTCCAGCGCTTTAGCCTTCTCCCAGCGGTTCTTGGCGGCCTCCAAGTCAGCATCATGCTGCGTCGCGTGAGTGAGCGGCGCTTGCATGTCTCTCATCTTCTCTCGATGGCGTTCAGCGAGTTCTTCGAACGTTCGGGTCCGAGACGTGGCAGGCCGTTGAGGCGTCGGGGCGACAATTGCCTTGCGAGGGGGCAATACGTTGACCGGGACCGGAGAGTTGTTGCCAGAGGAGCTGCGGTGCGGCTGGCTACTCAGTCGCGCGAGAGGCAAATCTTCGGTCGAATCCGATCCGGTGTTGGGACCCGAGACTTCTCCCATCCCTAGTAGACTCTCACGGCGTTTCCGTTGGTTCAAAGCGTCTGCCACAGCAGGAGAAACGGGCATCCGAGGACCGTGACTGACGTTGATGGGGGGCGTCACACCGGACGGCGGCTGCAACAGTCGGCGCTCTTGTACGTACATGTCCCAGTCGTCGTTCAAGGGCACACTTGTGGGGCGTCCAATGCTTTCTCCGACATGTGACTGAGTCAACGTCGACAGTTCCATCGAATGCACGCGTGCTCTCGGATCGTTTTCACGCGGAGGGCGGCTGTGACTGGGGCCTGGCAAGAGCGCCGAGGCGTCGATGCTCAGGGTCCGTCGCGAGGTCAGCGACGGCCGCCGCGACTCTTCAGAAGAGGATGGGGCCGGTGTTTCCGCCTTGAGAGCGTCGATGGATCGGCGGATGTTCTCAATTTCAGCCACGAGCTCTTCTTTGCGCTTGAGATCACCGAATTCCGTGGGCCCTTTGCGAGACGTCTCGTCCTTCGCGATGAAGCTACGCGGAACGTCTTCTTTGATGCCCTGCCCAAGATCAAGGGCGGGCAAAGCACCGGGGCTTTGAAGGTTGCGCGTGGCACGTCCAAGCTCGTCCTCTGGCGTCGGCGCAAACATCAACTCGGAGGCAGCTGATGCATGACGGGGACGCCCTTCAGCTACGAGCGTGAATGTCGAAGACCGATGCTCTGCTGCTACTGGCGAATACGAGCCATCATGATCCTTCATCAGCGGTGTGTTCGAATAACCACTTTCTTGTCGTCCATGCTTGTTCATCGTGGGATGATCCTTCTCCCACTGGTCACGCTCGCGTTCCATCGACGCAAATCTGCCTGCAGCCATATTCTCAGCAGCTTCATCTTGTTTCTTCTGTTCTTCGGCTATTTCCCGAAGCTTGCGCTGGAGAACAGTCAAAACGCGCAACTGCACAGCGATGCCCATGAGAGTGACGGCGCCAATCAGACCCAATTCGATTTGCATCGTCTGGGACACGGGGAACTGGATGCCGTGGTTCACGAATTTGGGAAATAGGGATCGGAAACCGAGATTCCAGATGTAGAGCTGCTCGGGATGAGTGCTGATTTCAACTTATGTTATGAACACTGATTGCCTTACCTCCTTGAGACCAGCAGTTGTGAAACAGTCGACTCCCAAAATGAATGCCGAGGAACCGACCATCGCTGTCGAGATAAGCAGGATGTGGTAATGGATCTATCACCATGTGAGCTTGAAGCTAGTCAGCTTCTGGACGTGACCTTTACCTTCGGAATCGTGCAAAGGATGAAACCGACCACTCCACACCCTGGAACATGTGTTAACCATGGACAGAGAAAAAAGTGGCCATAACGCAAACGTACCAATATAAAACAGCCAACGATAACCAATGGTCCGAATAAGTCCACCGTCGCGGAAGCCTTGGATCCAAAGAGCCAGAGCAAATCCACCCCATCCCCCAATGACTACACGTTCACATCAGTTAGTGCATCCGAATGACAGAACGAAAACACACAGTAGCGTGCAGCCTTCCAGAAGAATATCGCAACTCCGCCTCCGCCGATACCCGCTACTGCTGACGCAAGCACAAACAGTCCCCGCAACGTCTTATTCGGAGGATTGACGGCATCTAGAATTCCAAACTAGGGCCGATGAGTTTTGGATCACGTTCAATAAGAGCTGTCCGCGTTACCTTGAGAATCAGAACGAAACAGACGAGGGAAAGGGTGTAGAATCCGATCAGGAAGAATGAAGTCCACCTGGGGTCGATTATTACTCCGGCGTGCCGCTCGGCGTGCACAACTCACCTGTTCTTGTGCCCGAAGAATGCGGAGGGAATACCGGTGAGAATCAGCACAGCTCCCAGAACTCCAAAGGCGGGATCGAGGGTGGTTGCGAGTATCGTGTCTGGCACTGCGGACGCTGAGGCAGAGGCGGAGGCGGAGGCGGAGCTCGATAGAGTAGAAGAAGGAGAAAGGCTAGGGGATGGCGTGGGTGCAATCGTTACACTGACATTGACGACCGTCGGAAGGACACTAATCGCAGAAGAAGCCCCAGAGCGTGCGACGCTTGTGAAGGAACTGGTGGAAAGCGACAGCGAGACGCTGGGGATCGAAGTGGGGGGAGCAGAACTTGATTGACCCAAGGCGCACGCGACGGCGGCGAAAATCGTAGCGACTGCGGCGAGATGTGGCCGCATAGTGAAGGTCGTGGGCAACCCACCGGTGGAGCTGGTAGATGTTGGATGGGTCTATATGTGAAGGAATCACAAGCCCGTGATGGAAGATGGACTCAATTGGTTGCGGTTCACCGATGGAACACTAAGCGAGTTCGCGACGTCCCAGGATCGGACGCGTGAGGTCTCGCGATGTGGGAGGAAAAGAGGAACGAGGGAGGCCAAACGACAGGCGGGATACGTACTGGGGCCCAGACCCTCTAACTACACTTCGTGTACGTCAAGCACTGTTCCGCGTCGACTTTTCGATCGCGTCCACTCGGTGAAGTCAAAATGCAGGTGCCACAGCACATAGAGACCCGCGGGGTCAATTTCAAAACGCATATGCCTGCTGTAACTAGGCTGCACTGGAACTGGACACTTGAATGATGGCGGGTTCAATTTTGGAATATTCTAGCGAATATCTGAATGATGTGGTCCTCGAATGCTAGTCCTCATTTCCAAGATTGGCTCATGTTGCTAGTACCTCACTAGGAGATCGTCGCCGGCCGCCGAAAACCTCGGGCGTAATATTTGCTCCCATCCGCCGCCCTCCACAAATCACAGAGTCGAAGTATGCGTTTGTAGTATTTAGCTAGAGCAGGAGGGTGCCGAGTGTCTGCACTTGAAGCGGAAGTATAAATCCATGGGCAGCAGGACTGCATGCTGGATCACTACAGATATTTCTTGAAGACATACTTTGATTGTGACCCTAACCCCAGCCCACATCACTTCTTCACCCCCCATGTTGGCTCTGCGAAATTGTTTGAGAGCTCAAAGGCTGCCCCGGCGCCCTATTCTCTCCGCATCTCGGGGAGTAGCACAGGCCACATCAGAAGGAGAGGCCGAGGCGATATATGGCTCCATGCTAGAAGCAGAATTTCAAGATGATGACACAGTGGCTGCTGGCCATTTAATGCTGGAGGAGCAGCGAAAGGTATTGTATTATCTTCGTCTAATAGAGCACGAGATGCCCAAACTCGTCGGTATGCTCTTTTTATCTTCTAAGGACTTGCTATCCAACCGGCTTTCCACTAGCATATCGAAAAACATTTGCCCCCGCTCCAAACACACCTCTTGTCGTCCGTTCGATCGACTACGCAGGCGAGGAGCATCCTATAACAGCCAAACGCGTTGTTGTGGCGTCTGTCGACTCATTGCCGCTGAAGGGCGAAGACGCGCTCCATCGAATCAAAGTTTTGGCTGGACCTCGGTGGACACCGCATCCACCGTCAGATGGCGGTATCAGTGGTCTCGACGAGTGGGGGAATGGATACATCAAGATTTCCTGTGAAGATTTTCCTGAGCCTGCAATGAACCTGAAGTGGGCAAGTGATACCATGGATAGACTGGTGGCTCAAGCAAATGTATGTTCCCAAACACTTCCCGTCTCCTTCTGACTTATGTTCCAGAACGCCCAACTTGACCTGAGCGACATTCCTGTCGACCTTCGACACGTGTACTCCAAAGCACGAAAGGCAAAGAAAGGCGAACATTTGCGAGGCCGTGTCTATGCTCGACCCTCCAAACTCGACTTTCCCCTTGAATGGATTTCTGAACGACGGAGGAAATACGCTGTACCCTCATAATCTAAATAATGCCCTGCAATGCATGTGTTTTTGCTGCACTGTGCTCTGCAGGGATCTACACGCATCATCGCTATAAGGAGAGGAAGTACGATATTCCGAAGGTCCTCGATTTAGTCAGCCGACATTTGCCAATCCTATGCACCTTGACCTTCAATGACCGAGTCTCCCGCTCGAATCATACGCGCCTCGGTTGTGCAGACCTGCACTCAGGCATACTCTCTAGAACACACTCTGGTGAAACTCGAACAACTTACTCGTCTGGCACGGAATCGGGATGGATCACAACTGGCCGTGTTTCCCGAAGCTTTGTGAGTGCGAACCAATCTCTGGATAATCCGGTCCCGACCTGTCAACAGTATCGGCGGCTACCCCAAGTTCTCCACTTTCGGTGCTGTTGTAGGCACTCGATCCCCCCAGGGCCGAGAAGAATATCTTCGCTACCACAAAGCAGCAATTGAAGTCCCATCCGCTACCACTGCTCGCATCGAAGCACTGGCAAAAGAAACCGGGGTGTTCCTGGTAATCGGAGTCATCGAAAAGGAACCGAACGGGGGCACACTTTATTGCACGGCGATATTTGTTTCTCCTTCCCTGGGCTTGGTAGGAAAACACCGCAAGCTTCAACCAACCGCATCCGAGGTTTCGGTCTCATCATTTCCTCTTCAGAATGATCTTGAACAAGGCTCATAGCGTCTCATTTGGGGTCAAGGGGATGGAACTACCTTGCAGGTGCACGAAAGCGACTTCTCACCATCCTCATCGCCAGGCGCGCCCCCGATTCCCGTGAAGATCTCTGCGGCTATTTGTTGGTGCGAGCGTTCCAAGGTATCCCCATGCGAAGCTTATAACGAGGCAGGGAAAATTACATGCCTCTTTGTGCGTCGCTCAATATCTCTGGACGATTCCGGTGGTAATCGAGTGCTGCAGTGAGGTATCACTATTTCAGCCATGGGACTCAGATCTACTGTGCCCCCACAGTCGATGCACGCGACGATTGGCAACATTCCATGTCCCATATCGCTCTCGAGGGCAGATGTTTTGTCTTGTCCGCATGTCAATTTGCTCAAGTGCAGCACTATCCGGCGGACCACGCCTTGAATCCTGATCAGCCTGATGCGTCGCGAAACGACCCAGAGGATGTGATGATTGCGGGAGGAAGCATGATCGTCAGTCCCTTGGGGAAGATTCTAGCTGGGCCTTTGCGCGGTCAAGAAGGAGTGTTAACGGCCGAGTTGGACATGGACGATATCATTCGCGGCAAATTTGATCTGGATGTCGTGGGCCATTACGCCAGACCAGATAGTGGGTCTCCTTCGTTTCTGCCGTCTCTCAGGTGTTCAATGTTCGTCCACAGTCTTCAAGTTCCAAGCAAATGTAGATTAGGCACTGTGGTCCTTGATGTATGAATTACAACTCGTGGACTCGGCCCGTCTCTTCGTAATCCCGTCGTTGCCGCAGGCCACATATGCCTGTATACGGAAATGAAGAGAGTAGCGCGGAGGGGCGTGAGTTTAAAGCTCAAGAGTCAAAGCTGGATGAGAGGCCAAAGTTGGACCAAAGAAAGCAAGGTCGAAACAACGCCAAACATCGGACAACGTTCTTCTCATTCCTCGTCGTTCAGCTACGAGAGTTTGTCTCCCTCAGCCCTTCCGCCTCTCTCTCCTTATTCCCATTCCGCATAGATGTCAGACTCCTATGCCTCGTCTCGCAACGGCGACTACGCGTCGAATGGTGCGGCCAATGCCTCCAGCCCATCCCTTGTTCCCAATGGCACAACGACTGCCGTCATCCGCAAAAAATTGATGGGCTACGTTGGGTTTGCCAACCTCCCGAACCAGGTCCACAGAAAGAGCGTCAGGAAGGGCTTCCAGTTTACAGCTATGGTTGTTGGTGCGTTCACCTCATCGCACCATTTTAGCATCCCCCACTTATCTCCTTTTTCTGCTCAGGTGAGTCGGGGCTGGGAAAGTCCACTCTCATCAACACCCTCTTCAATACCACCCTCTACCCTCCAAAAGAGCCGCTCCCTCCCTCCGCTGAACGTCCTAAAACCGTCGCTATTGAGAGCATTGGTGCAGGTAAGAAGCTGTGACCCAAAACCTCCTTGCACTTAATCATCCCATCAGACATTGAGGAGAACGGTGTGCGCTTACATCTTACTGTCGTTGATACCCCCGGTTTCGGAGACTTTGTCAACAACGACGAGAGGTGTGTTTTCTTCTACGTATTGTTCCTGTTAACACGATTTCAGTTGGAAGCCCATTGTTGAGAACATCGAATCTCGTTTCGACTCTTATCTCGAGCAGGAGAACCGCGTCAATCGTACGAAAGTCGTCGACAACCGTGTGCATGCATGCTTGTACTTTATCGAGGCGACTGGCCACTCGTATGTTCTGACAGCGCATCGGCGAATTACCCTCTGACACATCTGTAGTCTCAAAGAGATTGACATCGAATTCATGCGTCGACTGCACACCAAGGTCAATCTGATACCTGTCATCGCTAAGTCGGATACAATGACGGAGGAAGAGGTTACGGAGTTCAAAGCTCGTGTACGATCTTCAACCTATATCACTGTCCGCCGAGATCTGACGCAATTTCTTAAAGATCCTCTCAGACATTGCGCACCACAACATTCATATCTTTGAAGCTCCTACGTACGAGAACGAGGACGAAGAGACCATCGCCGAGGCGGAAGAAATCGCGAGCAAAATACCGTTTGCCGTGGTGGGCTCCGACAAGGCAGTCGTCACGCCCGACGGGCGAGAAGTTCGTGGGCGTGCCTATCCATGGGGAGTTGTCGAAGTCGACAACGAAGATCACTGCGATTTTGTCAAATTGAGACAGATGCTTGTGCGCACCTACATGGAGGAATTGCGCGAATACACCAACGATGTTCTTTACGAGAACTGGAGAACGGATAAACTGCTGGGCATGGGTGTCGCGCAGGATTCAACCGTATTCAAGGAGATCAAGTATGTCCCTAACGCACTTTTTTTTTCCAATGCGACACTAAGTGCATTTGTAGCCCTGCAGCCAGAATGCAGGAAGAGCGCGTCCTGCACGAGGCCAAGCTTGCTAAGATGGAGGCTGAGATGAAGATGGTGTTCCAGCAGAAGGTGCAAGAAAAAGAGGCAAAGCTCAAGCAGTCTGAGGAGGAGCTGTACGCCCGGCACAAGGATATGAAGGATGCTTTGGACAAGCAGCGGCTCGATCTCGAGGAGAAGAAGAGGAAAATCGAAAGTGGGCGACCGATCACACCCGAGAAGAACGCGGTGAGTACAGCTCATGCGTCTCGTGGCCCCTTCAGTCTGACATATCTCGTTCCAGACCGGCAGACGAAAGGGTTTCCTCCGCACTTGATCGTTCTCTTGAATTTGCGCACATGTGGCTACACGGCTGTATGTATATGGCATTTTTATTATTGACACTTTTTCTCTCGCCGGCTTGTTCTCGTACACCTCCATACTCATTCTTTACCATCTTGATTCCCTACGAATACCTACGTTCTTTACGGATCTATTGTTCCATACCATAACCTAGTTTCCCATGGAGAATGCATCCTCGGAGTATACCATCTCATCTTGTTCGATCATCTTGAGGATCAACAAAGGTAATCAACATCTAAACTTCATTTGTGCCTTCCATGGCGGACATCCAGGCGGTACTCTCTGCCATCGACGTGTTCAGTCGCGCCCCCGACAAGGCGTCACTTGATCGCGCAAGCGCATGGTTGCAAGACTTTCAGCACTCTGTAAATGTTCTTTCGCGTTCGCCACTGTCGACACCACCTCTGACCGTGATCAACACGTCTTATCCTAGCCGGAAGCGTGGGCGACCTGTAACGTTCTGCTCCTATCGCAGGACACGCCTCCTGCAGCGAAGTTGTTTGCCGCACAGACATTTCGGGCCAAAGTGCGTTGATTCATTTGTGGTTCTCCGGCACTTGAAAGATGTATTCGGATAGGTCACTTATGATCTCCATCAAGTCGACTCAGCCAATCTATCCAGCTTCCGTGATACACTCGTCAACGCGCTGGAACAATATCACCAAGGTTCTCGGGCGATCATAGTTCAACTATGTCTAGCGATCTCTGGCCTTGCGATGCAATTCCCCTCCTGGACCAATCCCGTCGAACACATGATCGGATTGTTTGGACGCAACCCTGCAACGGTTGCGATCCTACTTCAATTCCTCAGTGTCTTGCCCGAAGAGATGCGCAACCACAAAATTCCAATCACTGTAAGAACCTTGACATAGAGGACGTGATCATCAGCTCAGCCATTGCCAGGATGAGGAACACAAGGAGAGAGCTGCGCAATTGTTGAGCGGGAACTCCAAGCAAGTGCTGGAGCTGCTGTGTATGTATCTGCAGGCGCCTGGTACATCCCTTCTCTCTGGCTCGAGGCGTAACACTGTAACGAACCTTTTTCAGGCGTCACAGCTGCCGTACAATCGCAAGTTTTCGAGTGTCTTCGAAGCTGGCTGATTGCTGGCGAGGTGCGGGCAATGGATTTGGTCAAAACACCGCTCTTCGAAAATGCGTTTCAAGCTCTGGCCTCCGACAATCTGTTCGACTCCGCTGTCGACGTCATATGCGAGCTTATTCACGAGACCCAAGAGCTAGAAGAGAACACGGCTGCGATACAGCTAATCGTACCTCAGCTCATTTCGTTGAAGCCCCAGCTAACTGCTCAATCGGGGGATGAAGACAAGATACGGGGGTATGCTCGCATCTTCAGCGAGGCTGGGGAAACATACCGGATGCTGCTGATTCAACATCCGGAGACCTTTTTCCCCATAGTGGAAGCCATTGGAGAATGCTCTGCATATCCAGATCTGGACATCGTTCCTATTACCTTCCCCTTCTGGGATCGGATGGCTCAATACATCGGCTCACGGCGATCTTCCGTCCCACCCGTATTTTTGGATGCTTACCGGGCTCTCCTCGCTGTGATGATTAAACATCTCTATTTCCCTCCGGATGCGACTCCGCTTGTGGGGCAGGAAGCGGATGATTTCCGCGCTTTCAGACACGTGATGGGAGACACAGTCAAGGATTGCTGTTTTGTTTTGGGCACGCAGAGCTGTCTTGAGACAGCGTACCAGATCATCACAACCGCTCTTGCACAAGGCACCCAGTCATGGCAGGAAATCGAAGCACCGTTGTTTGCCATGCGCTCGATGGGAGCTCGTCTCGACCTCACCGACGATGTCACCATCCCCAAAATCATGGACCTGATCCCCTCCCTACCGAATCATCCTCGGGTCCGCTATTGCGCACTGCTCATCATTTCAAGGTATTCGGACTGGATTAATCTGCATCCGCAATATATCCAGCATCTACTGCAATACATCTCCGCCGGCTTTGAGAATCCGGACTCCGATGTGTGTGGTGCTGCTGGTCAGGCACTAAAATACATCTGTCAAGACTGCAAGAAGGCGAGTCCCACTTGGCTCGATCACAACACTGTCGCCTAATCTTACACAGCATCTGGTGGATTTCCTGCCTCAATTGCATTCTTTCCTCAGTTCCACTGGCTCGAAACTTCTGCAGGATGACCGTCAGCAGATATACGAAGCTATCGGGCATGTGATTTCTGCCATGCCCATCGAGCGAGCGACCCAATCTCTCAGCACATTCTCTGTCGACATCCTTGCACAAGTGCACACAGCGTCTGCAAAATCGACACAGCTCTCCAAGGACGAGCTGGCGGCAATTGCTGGTATGGGTCACCGCCTCAAATGCTGTAATGGCTCTTATCAGCCCCAGACAGTCTAGAAAACCTCGAAGTGATGCTCGGAACCGTGAAGGGCTTCGGGGAACAGCTCCCGGTTGCCTGCCAGAGCACGTGTGAAGAGGCCTGGACGGTTTTGGATGCTTTCTTAGTGAAATACGGGTCGGACTATGAGATCGCTGATCGTGTTACGCGCGTTCTGCGACACGGTATCGGATTGTTTGGGGAGCTAGCACGTCCGATTCTGACCTCGGTGGTCCCGAGAATGTCTTTCGCTTTTGAGGCCACGAGTTACCCCAGCTATCTGTGGATTGCAAGCAAAGTGGTCCAGAACTACGGAGAGAGCGCCGACAGCGATCTTCTAGGCACCTTCCAGGAAATCTACGAGCGCTCGACCAATTGCGTGGGCACGATCTTACAGTCTAGGAGGCCAGAAGAGGTACCCGATGGTGCGGATTTCCTATACCATCCCTCCCCCGCATCTCTGACGATCTGGGTTCAGTGGTCGAAGATTACTTGAGGATGCTGGACGCTCTGGCCTCAACCACCCCCGACATATATTTCCAGTCCTCTGCCTTTCCGCACGCTTTCCGAATAGCGATGGGGGCGTTGACTGTTGTTTACACAGACATCGTCTTCATTTCTCTGGAACTTTTTGTGCATATCTTCAACCACGACTGTCTGGTATCGCCGACGACGCCCAAACTGCGGACTTACGGCGGCGTTATCCAAGACAGTGTCCAGAAAGAAGGCCTGCAACTTCTTGCCGTGCTCCTCCAAGGCCTAGTGACCGACTTCCCTGAGGATTCTCTCTCACTCGTGGTCTCAATTGTGCGCACAATGTCGCAGCTATGGAGCTCGCAGGTGCTTTCTTGGCTACCCCTTGTGTTGCAGCAGCTACCGGCAGCTGCTGCACCGCAAGAGGCGAGGGCGAACTTCTTGTCGGAGGTCACCAGGTTCGTCTGTGATGTCTTCGGTTATTGGCGGTGCTTAACCCAAGCCAAGCGCAATCAATGACAAGGAGTACAGCAAGGTCAAATACGCCCTTTTATCCCTCAATCGAGCCTCGAGGAAAGCCAGAGAACGGCGGCTGGCAGGGACTGGTTTGGGCCGCGATCGTTAGATGGAGAATGGACTGCAAACGTATAATACATTCTCATAAATATGTAAGGTAAGGACTACAAGTACTAAGAACATGACCTCTGTCACGACATTTAGGTACTCAAAGTGTCCCTCATAGGATGGGATCAGCCCACTTCGAGTTTGGTCCGTTTTTGACCCGTCTGATCGGACATAAAGCCCATATCAGGCCCACTTCCGTTCCGCATCAGCCATATATACCAAGGTCTCGTCAACGCTTCCAAAGTCTCGCCAACGCTTCCGAAGGTTACTTGGCTCTCAACATGTACATGCGCGCTGGCCATCCTCTGTGCAGCAGTGCGTAATTCAGTACTCTTCACATGCATCTGAGACCATGTTGTTCCAGTTGGACGCCGGACGTTCTCCCAATCCGCTACGCGTCGAAGCTACGCAGATACCATCCATAATCTTCTTATCCACAAGGATACCAAGGTTCTTTGTCAGGGATTCACCGGCAAGACAGTGCGTACACAGACGTTTTTTCACCGCTCGGCATCTCACCAACCACAAATTGTGCAGGGAACGTTCCACGTCAAGGAAGCGCTTGCCTATGGGACCAACATGGTCGGTGGTGTGTCGCCCAAAAAAGCGGGTCAGACACATCTAGGCCTTCCTGTCTTTGGTAGTGTCAAGGAGGTGCGAAATGGCGCTCTGTGACATCTTCCATCCTCATTCGAACATGGTCTTCCTCTCCGCGTTCATGTAGGCTGTTCGCGAGACTCAGCCGGACGCGACCGTTCTCTACGTCCCTCCCCCATCCGCTGCCGATGCTATCATTGAGGCTATTGAGAATGAGATTGGGCTCATTGTCTGTATCACGGAGGGCATTCCCCAAGCCGACGAAATCCGGGTATGTGACCGCCTGGCTGGGAAGCAGCATGCTGACGATTCGCATCAGGTCATGAATGCGCTGAAAAGCCAATCTCGTTCGCGTCTTGTCGGACCCAATTGCCCTGGTGGTGCGTTTAGGACTTCTGGCTGCTTTTTCGATTCTCAGTCTTGTGGCAACAGTCATCAACCCCCTGGGCTGCAAGATGGGAATCCAGCCCGGTCATATCCACAAGCCGGGCAAAATTGGTATGGTTCTCGGATTTTTCTCTCGAGCGTCCCCACCTCACTACCTGCCAGGTATCGTTTCCCGCTCAGGGACGCTCACTTACGAAGCTGTCGCTCAAACGACTGATGTTGGATTGGGTCAATCGTTATGTGTCGGAATCGGAGGAGATCCTTTCCCGGGAACGCAGCACGTAGATGTGCTCAAGGTCTTCCTCGACGACCCCAACACGGAAGGTGCGTAGGCGTTGATCTAAAATGGGAGCATCGGCTGACCGGAGCAGGCATTGTTGTCATTGGTGAAATCGGTGGCTCGATGGAGGAGGAAGCGGCCGAGTACCTAGAGAAATACAACAAGACCCGCGCGAACCCCAAACCGGTTGTGGGCTTCATTGCTGGGCGTACTGCACCTCCCGGACGTCGCATGGGTCACGCTGGTGCAATTATTTCTGGCGGCAAGGGCGCTGCCTCTGACAAAGTAGCCGCTCTGCAGCGCGCTGGTGTCATTGTCACAGACAGCCCGGCTCAGATCGGCAAGGAGATGCTTGCAGCTATGCAAGCGGCTGGTCTTGTCTAAATGTACTTACATTCTCGAGAAACATAGACGATAAATAACTGGATATGTGCGCTCGCTTTTCATGTGATCTCTCTGGACAAAATCGCCACCCTTGATGCTTTCCACCTTTCACCTCCAGGTATTCCAATCCATCGCCAATCTATCGTCCCGGGAGAAGCCAAGGAGAGAACTCAGAGAAGCACTCAGTCCAGATTGTTCTTACTCAGGCTTGCTACGTAATCTGCGATGTCTGCATTCGACAGTGCTGCCACATTCCTCACCACTTCTACGCAAGCGGTATCGACTTCCCAGAAGCTTGAGGTGCTGAGAGAACCCGTCTGCAATCACATGGCTCTCAACTAGTTGCAGCTCTATGGACTTTTCAAATGTGTAACCATCTCATCGCAGCCGACCACTGCTCGGCCTTCCATCTTCGACTTCACTGGAAGAGCAAAATGGGACGCTTGGGCAACTGCGGGGAAAACATACTCCGACAAAGCGGATGCCGAGAGTCGCTATCTCGAAATCGCCAAGTCTTTGGGCTGGACAGAAGGCCTAGTCGTTCTAGATGACGAAGTGGCCGCAGAAAACGAAGATATTTGGGACTCAGAAGAGGAAGGTCAGCCGGCAAAACGGGGCGAAGGAGGGGGGATGGGTGTGGCTGTCAGTGCGATGTCTCGGCCGGAAACAGTGGAGGATCCTGGCCTCCACGGTGCGGTCGTGTCTAATAGCCTGGACGCTGTGACAGCGTTTGAGCAAGATCCCGCTGTGGATTGGAATGGAAGGGATGAATTTGTGAGACTCGCGCTACTTTCACAAGTCGTATTGTCGACCAGCCAAAGGGATATACACCACTACATCTCGCCGCTGATCGCGGCCACCTCGCCATCGTGCAGTACCTACTCAACAAGGGTGCTGATCGCTCTATCAAGGTCCTCCGCCGCATCATGCTCATGCTGCACCCATACGAACTGAAGGACGTTTCCAGGATGAGGACGACTTCTCTGCACTGGAATTGGCGGACGCTGCTGGTCATGAAGACGTAGTGAAGGTGCTGAGTGCATGTTAAATAAGACGTAAGAACAACTGGATAGGATTGCGCGTACGCCGACGCGTTCACTGCTTGTCCTCTGATTTCGACTGTATCCTCTCCTTAACTGCAGATAATGTCGGAGTGGGGACCGGTGGCTCCTCCTTCGGGAGGGACCCTTTGGGGTGGAACACAGAACCGGGTTTGAGGATGTTACCCTATAGGAATGAGGCAGGAGCTCAAAGTTGGACATTGGGAATGCTCACAAGCTCGAGTAGTCGAACTGCAGATTTGCTGGGGACAGCACCGACATGTAACCAGTACCTGATTCGGTCCACACTCCATTCTATTGTCTTGTGCTCTTGGCCGGGAACGACATGAGGGTTGTAGACACCGAGAGTCTCAGCAGGTCGGCCGTCGCGTCGGGAACGCTGGTTTATGGCAACGAGATGGAATATTTTTTTGTGCGCTTTGCCGTGCAGCGCAAGACGAATACGCATAGGCATCGTGGTCACTGGTGTGCTGAAGGTGAAAAGACGCGTGATCACGTGTCAATTGGTGGCATCAAATTGAGCACGGCGCGTCTCACATCGGGGCACATTATGTAGCTACAGACATACATACAGCAAACATATAGGATTGGATCCGTGATTTGATATGTTTGAGAAATATCTCAGTAAAAGGGTTTAGAAACAATATGAGTGACAGAAAGATTCTCCGTGTTAGAAACAACAATCTTTCGAGCCATTCAAATTTCACGGGTTACACCCAGCCGTGCTCGCATTGCCAGAGTCAGAAGGAGCTGCGCAAACTCGCCATGGTCCAGCGACTTCGTCACGATGCGTCTGGTCCTGAGCTCCCAGGGATCAACTGTTGCGATGGTGAATTCAACCCGATCGCATCAAGGTGCAGAGGGAGTGCTGACCATACAGATGTTGTTGCCATTCAATAAAGTCTGGGCAAGTGTTGTCTTCTTCTTGCCTTGAGGCGTGTTTTCGCTACATGTATAGGTTTATATGAGAATGGTTCAGACGAGCAAGCAAACAACACACTATTCTGTCACATCTTCGAGCACCATGTCTAGGAGCGAGTTTAGTGCTTGAGATTCCTCCAGCGATGGTCACTCACTGACGAAATCGTCAAAGCCCAGCAGAGTGCCCGTGAATTCGCGATCATTCTTCATCACAACCCATATGCGCGACCCGATACATCTATCGATCAGTTCTGGCGCTCGTTATTTCGATTGAAGCGGAGAACCAGTTTTGAGTACCAAGAGGAAGGATCTGGGAAGCCATGTATAGCTCGCGCTCGGAAGTGGAAGAAGGAGACTAAGGTGTTTGGTCGTGTGATGCGATCACACAATCCTTCCTCCCTAACGTTCAACTGCGAAAGATATGGGTCACGGAAATTCTAGTACGCGCTATATGCCCCGCGTCTGAATATTGAAGTTGACCCCGACAGACAAGTTGTACATCACACATGCTGAGCACTCTGGGCAGTTTGGTTCGCACTCGTCGTCTATAGGATACAAGCAGTTCGCTCTGCGGTCTTCAGCACGCACGCCGTCACTCATTATGCCATCTACAGGAAAGCAGAAGCACCTCATCCTGCGTCGATCACTCCTTTTGACTGTTGTGCCATCTCGTTCCAACCCTTCAGCCATCCTGTTTGCGCGCGCAACGAGGATGGGACCGGAACGGTCTTCGACCTAGTCAACATCATTCCCTGGCTGAAGTATGCTTGTCCTAGACTGCTCGGCACTAAACTCACAAGCATCCCAGACAGCATAACAACACCCACCCGATTACGAAAGCACCCTTGAACCCAACTGACCTCATAACGCTGCACTATTCACGCAAAGAGTCATCAAACGAGTTGCACGATCCCATCAGCTTCAAACTTTTCAGCCAGCACTCTCATATCGTTGCAATTTCAACAACTGGCAACGTATTTCTCGCAGAGAGCATCAAGGGTGGGCGGGACCTCATAAGTGATGTCCCTTACAAAAAGTTTGTCTCATCTCTGAAGCACAGTGGAACCAAGCTCAACTTTCTCAGGGAGGATGTGATAACACTGCAGAATCCGCATGACCTTCCTTCAGTATCCATCGCTGCTGCCAAGTCTGTTGCCACAGCTGCACCCGAGAATGATAAGAAGGCCATGGCCCCTCCGTCCGTGATACCTGTGAAGGCAAAAGCAGAGGTTCCATGTCAGTGAGGAAATCTGCTATCGGATCGTCTTGCTCAAACTACACATAGGGAACGTGTCACCGTATTCAAATGGTTTACCTGGTGCCAGTTTGACTTCGACTTCGGTCGACCCAACGGCCAATGTATCTTCTAAATTGGTCTGGGATGAGGTATGTTCTGTTTCCAGTATGTATGCGTTATATCTGACGGCATATTCAGGAGGAACTTATGTTCGAGGACATCTCCAATCCTCTCAAAGGCAAAGGAAAGGAAAAGGATGTCGGAAAGAGGCGTGCATACGTTCGCGTGATTACAAATCTGGGTGGAAGCAGTCTGAACTTGGAACTATTTTGTGACAAGGTGTGTTTTACGTGCTGCCATCTGTGACCCCGATGTTGAAATCGCTAGGCACCGAAAACATGCTATAATTTTCTGATGTTGGCTAAAGCAGGCAAATACAACGACTGTCTCTTCCATCGATTAGTTCCCGGCTTTATGGTCAGTTCTCTGCTCAAATCTGAACGTCAAAATTGATGCGTGGCACATAGGTCCAGACGGGTGATCCGACTGGCACTGGGTCTGGAGGATCTTCATATTGGGGAACACCCTTCCGTGACGAATACGATCTAAAGAACGCTGCACGACATGATTCGAGAGGCACGCTTGCGATGGCAAACAAAGGAGCGGGGACGAACGGCTCTCAGTGGTACTTGACGTTCAAGCCATGCCCTCATCTGGACAAGAAGCACACCGGTACGCCTTCCCAGTTACGTTGCTCTGCACGAGCTGAGTATTTACACAGTATTCGGGAAACTTGTTGGCGGAGAAGATGTGCTGGACGCGATCGAAAAGGTCGGAGTCAAAGAAGGCGGCTCGCGGGTGAGTCATGACAATAGTTGCATCGTACGGAACTGAACCATCTCGTCCAGCCACTCAAACCAATTCGTATCACAGAAGTTGTCATGTGAGTTGCCACCGGGGACCTTAGCCAGTCGCTGATTATACTTGGCTGGTTCAGTTACCAGGATCCCTTCGAAGAGTACAAGACACGATTGGCCAAGAAATTGGCCAGGAAGAAAGAAGCGGAACAAGGCGCCCCGGCGGATAAACCAGTTGTCAAGCAGGGAGACGGAGTGAATTGGTTCGGCGTCAAAGTCGGTTCTGAATCAGCTCCTGTAGTAGCTGCTGAAGGTGGTGTTGGCAAATACCTGGGCCTCAAACGATCGCAGGAGACCACTGCCTTTGATCAATCTGGGGCTGAGGGCAAGAAAAAGCGCAAGATAGGATTTGGCTCCTTCGATAGCTGGTGATACTCAGATATATGTAGATGGCCATGTTGTGTATGTAAACTAGGCTGCCATGGGAACTCTTTCGTGTGTTGGCTCCTCCTCCAGGATCGGGTCTTCGGTTGCGATGAGCTCGTGAGTGGGAGCGGACGGTAGTTCCACCGGCTTGACCCCGAGCTGAAGCTTGCGTAAGCGAGAGCAGCGCATGGATAGGAAGCGATAACTTACAGCCTCGGCCTGGAGCGCAGCCAGCTCCTGTTGAACAGCATCCTCGTCGTCAGCAGAGAGATTATTGGCGAGTATGTCGCTGATTTCCTATTCCACATCCAGTTAGACATGCAATGGCGGCCATAGCCCTGCGCTTACCCTCTGATACTCTTGTGCCTCCTGTGTCTCTTCCATGAGCTTCTCCACACTCTCGATGCTCATCTCTTGATGAATTTGCTTGAGAACCTCGTTGCCCTGCTTCAGGCCGTGCATGATAGAAACCTCGACCAGGGAGAATTCGATTGTCGAAACCTGTTGCTACGCTCAGCGCAGGGATAATGACATCAATAACGGACCCACCAGCTGCTCGAGGGTTTCCAGCTGACCATCCGTCTTAACGAGCAGGCTCTCTTGGTACTTGCGTTTACGAAGGGCGATCACCGCGCGGTCCTTATTTCCTGCGGCAAGGTGGGCCCGGGCTATCGCATGTTCGCGGTCGAGGACAGTTTGGATCTACGATGCAATGTTGGGCGTGGACTGCGCTTTCATGCAGGTTACGAGACGCGCCTTCTTCTGGTATTGTCTGAGCTTGTCGCGTTGGAGCTTGAGACTGGAAGATGGAGAAGCATGGTCATTGGTAGAGTTTGAGTGCCGGTGGATGGGACACACACTCGAGAATAGCGCGATCCTGAGCAGTGACTTTGGGTAGAGACTGGTTCGCACCCATGAATTGGTGCTATCACATGGTGATCGCATGCGGAATCATCTGATCTACCTCTGATCCGAGTCGGAGATCGCGTGCGCTCATGAGTTCCATCCTGCTGTGATTCTACTACTTGACTTGCCACCATGGTCGTCCTGCTACTTTCAATCAAAGGTACTTGAGATCGTGGCTCGAATCACTCCTATGAATGATGTGCATTGCAAGCCGAACTGGAGAATGTCGCCAGTCTTGAGGTCCCTGCCGATTTCGAATTCTTCTTCCAGGTTAAGTGCAACAGCTGCCACGAAGTCCATCCCAAGCTGGTCACCCTGAATCGACAAGTATACACGCAACACACGCTCTCCTTCGTGTTCCCCTCATGGTTCGATTTTACTAGGATACCTACGATCTCTCTGGTAGCAAAGGAGCGACAGCCAATTTTGTCTGGCGATGTGGACTATGTATGTTGAAGCGATGCCCAATCCCATTCTGGTCGTTTCTATTGGGATACAGGCAAACGCGAAAGCTCTGCAAAGTTTGAGGAGTCCTATCCTCTCCGGGCTTACACGGCGGAGAATGCCCAATTCGCACCGCTGCTCAAGATCGAATGCCGCGGTAGATGACATGCCTTCTGTTGCAGTCGATGGAAACTAAAACCCGCAATCAGGTCTAGAGTTTGTTGGTTTCGATCCCAAGGTGTGTTGTGTACGTCGTGTTGTATCAGCGCTAATGGCTGGGAGCAGGGCGTCTGGAGATGCGAAGGCCAAACAGGCACCGTTTTCCCCGAGGTTGAAATCCCTGACGCGAATGGAGAATGGGTGGACTATGACGAGAAGGTTTGCGATCCCAACAGTTTTTTAATCTTGTGTTAAAGCCGTCGTAGGCTGCTTTACCAGTAGGCGTGTCCGCAATTGAGAGCCGCTGGACGCGTGCATAAATTGGTATAACTAGTACTCTTGCTTGAAGGAAACCCTGGCTCCCCAATCACGAGCGACGGCGTCCCTCTAATACATCTCTTTTCCAAGACGATGGCTCAGTGATCTTCTCTACCGCCGTACTCAGATTTTCTTTGCCAGCCTCGATCACTCGGGCCTTCTTTTTTTGAGCTTTTTTGATACGCTCGATCCCCCATAGCGCGATCACTGCTCGACTGATTCTGGCCTTGTGCATGTCCACGCCTCGTTCCCGGAGCACATCAACAAAATGCTCGAAATGCTGTCGCCGATGAATTGACATCGCACCGGGGAATGGAGACTCACTGAGATTGACGTGCGGTAATGGCCTGACAGCGGCGACAGTTTGTAAACGATGCCTTGCTTGACCGTGATCAAGCCCGCGCTGGTCACCACACCTCCGCCCAGCAAAGACGAATGTTGAAAAGTTCCTGTCTTCTTGATTCCAATGAATATATTGACTCATCATCCCATCAGCTGGTCATAGCAAGCTTCGTAGCAGTCTACGCACAATGTTTGTCCTTTGCGCTGAGCGTAAGCTGTCTGTGGAAGACAAGTGATACAAAGTGACGCACCGAGACATATATCCACGTATTCTTGCGGACCGTCTTGCGCAACAAACGGTCCACAACCCCACGCAGGGTGAATCGCTTCCTGAACTCCCTCGTGATGCGGTATTTACCTTTTTGTGGCCCAGCGTAATGCGTGGCCGCCGCGTCCAATGCCTCCGTGTGAGATCCGCCATCGTCCACAGAAGAATCAGACGATGAAGGCCCGCGCGTCAACGCCTGTCGCATAGATGTCCGGTCCGGAATGATTCCCTGTCCGTTTTCGGAGTCCACCCATCGCCCTGGTGTCGTGTCGACCAGGTCATGGCTCTTCGCCCATCTGAGCCGTCCCTCTGCATCAATTTCAACCAGATAGTTCAATCCTGTATGGGGTGGTCAAGTTTCTCCGATCCTCAGCTTGAATGAGACGCACTTTGCTCTGCGGAAAGATATCTAGCAGCACATCCTCATTAAGGGTGAAGGCATACATCGACGAGAGACGCACATGATCCTCTACTCAAAACGTCGTCAGTGGGAGGGTCGAAGTAGTCAATAGCGATGAACCCGCCTCTTTTTCCAGCTGATCACGAGAACATTCTTCGAGAGACAAGTCCTTTCCATCACCCTTATCTAGCCTAACAAGCATCGGTGGACATGATGCAGACGGGGAGTCTAAGGGGCTCAGCAGACGCACCACCTGAAGAAGTTCTGGTCCGTGTCCTCTGTCTGCCACCGACGGTGATACCACTACCGAGGATGAGCAATCCAGACCGAAACATACCCCAGCCACTTGCCTTGACTGCGAACACTGAGCGGTGAGCGCTAACAAGGCACGAGATGACTCAACGATTAGACCCATACCGGTGTTTTCCATCCACCAGCTCCAGCCAATGCTGTGTCTCCAAAAACTTGGAGGACACCGCGTCGCGCTTATCGACCCCGTTCTCAGTCAACATATTGTTCCCGTCCTGGAGCTCAGTTGCAAACTGGATGGCCCGCCACCACCGTGCGCGCGGGGAGTTGTGGTCGCCGCCGGCATGGGCGGCTGCGCGGGCTGCAGTGAGGGTCGCGTGCGTTTGGACATCCTTGACGCGTACAGAGGTTGTGAGGTACGAGGACGCGTCCTTGCGGTGTTTCCGCCGCCAGAAGTCCTTGATAAGCCTGAACAACAGCTTGCACGCCCGAGTGTGAGAGACTTGCCTGGATTCGTTGAGCTGCAGTATCGTGGTTCAGGGTCGAAGACATGGTCTGACGTCATTGGGGACGATATGCAATATCATGACTGACTATACATGGCTAGTCGTACAGAATCCAAATCACGGGATGGACGGTACCAGGAATTAAAAGTGTTGCTACAGACGTTATAACATGAACAACAGAAATGCGTGTAGATGATGCTGTGCGGGGCGTGTCCAATTAGTAGAACGCAATCAACTGTCCGACGGTCGCGATTTGGGTTCAAAGCCCTCAAATTGCCACCCCGGAGTCAGGACGAGATAAGGATCCTTCCGCAGCTCTGAAGCAGGCGGCCGCTCCTCGGGATTGCTGTGGACAAGCGATGAGTCGTGCGGACACAAGTGGGCAACCATCACACTTACATGGCAAAACATTTCTTCCGGAACTCATCAGCCAACGGTGTGAGCACCAAACCTTCAGGAACGGGCGGTGGCTGCTTGGATTGGAAGAGCTTGAACATCACAGCCACCAATTCATCACCCGTCCAGGGTCGTTGGCCAGCCCACATCTCGAGCACGACACACCCGATACTCCAGATGTCAATTTTGAAGTTGTAGCCCTTTTTTCCGGTGTTGATGACCTCGGGCGCCATCCAGAAAACCGTGCCTTGCATGGCAGTATGTGCGTCGTTGTGATCCTCAGTCCGCTTTGAAATACCAAAGTCAGAAATCTTGCAGACACCCGACATTTCGACTAAGATATTGTCTGATTTGAGATCCTGCACGAAGGTCAGACAAACGGTCGAGTTCACATCATGAATCAACATGCCCGATGCAAGATGCCCTGGGAATGAAGATATTCCAGCCCAGCGAGAATCTGCGATGTGAACGACTTGGTGACATCCTCGTCGAATTTGCCGTGTCTGAGCAGACAGCTGCCAATTGATCCACCAGGGACGTATTCCAGGAAACTGCAGTCTTCCGTCAGCTATCTAAAGCATGAAACGTCTACGATCTGCTCACATGCTCAGATTGGAAGGAGTCTCCTCAAAGCCGAGATATTGAACGATGTTGGGATGATCGAGTACCTTGAGAGTCTCACTCTCGAGTTTGAGGGCCTGCACAACCGTGACCTGGCGGGAGTCGTTCTTGTCGCTAGCAGTGCGCGGAATGTCGACTTGCTTGACCGCTATCATTTCTCCAGTTGTAACATTCAAAGCAAGATAGACTCGGCCGTATGTTCCTCGGCCGATGAGTTCACCACGGACCCACTTGAAGGTGGCTACAAGCAGTCAGAATCGAAAACAGGAAAACCACGTAGTCACGCACTGGGACCTTCACTGGTCGACGGTGACTCGGGCAGAGTGGCCGTATCGACCACCTCTTCGACGCGACTACCCCACAGTTTGGTGCTGCGCTTGCGCTGGACGGCGGTGAGCGAGTCGCCGATCCTGGAAGTTCTGTCTATGTATTTTTTACGCTCCTGAGCGACAATGCGGATGCTCTTCTTGCTTCGAATACGGCCCTTGTCTTTCTCGGGAACGACCGGAGGCGCCGGCACAGGCTCTGTCGGGGACGCGCTCCCGGAAATAGCTTCGACAACGGGCTTGTCGAGGTCGTGTTCGGGGAAAAAGTCTTCCAGACGCTCGTAGACATCGTCCAAAGGTGGTCTAGGTGCCCAGGTGGCTTCTTCACGGACAGTGAAGGTGCTGGCACGGACCCCCTGTCCAGTTCGAGATGAAGGGGATCGAGCGGATGGAGATCGTCCACTGGACACGCCACTTGTCGGTCTGCTGGTGAGTGGGCCGTCTTCGCTATCGTTTATTCTCACAGTCAATGCAGGACCGCGCAAATTCGACTTGGAAGCGGCTGGGCCGGAGGGTGCGACTTTCCAGGTCCCAGTGTTCTCGTCGCTGTCCGAGTCATATGACAAGGTCGTCATCGACGTACCAGTGCTGAAGGACGTGCCGGTTCCGTCTCCTCCAAAGCCTAGGGTCGTGCTCAGTGTCGAGTTCAGCGACGGCCTGTCGGGTATGACGGTCGCCGATTCCATGTCTCCCATCAGCTGTGCGCTCTTCGCGAGCACCCGTGCAGCCCAGCGGCCACCATCCAGTTCTGTCGAAATAGCCGTTGGGATATCGGGCAGGTCGCCGCTGGAACTGGACGAGGATGACGGTCGTGCTATAAATCTCGGACTCCTTGGACTGACAGGACTGTCTGACGGCCGAGTGTCTGACGGCCGATTCACTCGATACGGTAGTGCCGAAGTAGGAAACACATGCGTAGGGGACGGGGCTCGTGCAAATCTTCCGCTCGGTGATGTCAGCGAGTCTCCGAAAGCAGATTGCGGACGAGGGTATGGATCCTTGGGTGACTTGACATTGGACGGATGTCCGCTCGGCAACCGCGAGCCATACACTGGACTGAGCTCGTGGATGGTGGGTGTCACGTGAGCCGAGCCTTGGATGGGCAAAGGTCGTATATGCCGACTTTCGTACGACTTGGGGGCACCCAAGGTCGAATTGGGTGTGCTCAGAGGCACGTTGATGGGCATTGCAGGGTGTCTTGCTCCTCCCGCTTGCAAATTTGACGGATGGGAGTTTATCGCCGAGCCGCGCAGGTTGTCCATACTCTTGGCGCCTTTGGTCAGCCGTTTCCAAGTCGTCGATGAGGTTGGCATCGGAGCAAGCTTGTGCGACGAGTTGAACATCAGCCCTCGCGTTGCGATGCGCGAATCGGTTTGGGATGAAGGAATCGGCGGCGGCGCGTTCCTTGGAGGAGCGGGAATAGCCAGTCTTGTGTATGGCGAGACAGGTTTATTGTATTTGGCCGGCGAAAAATGGTTTCTGGTGTTGCGGCTGGGCGAATGCCGCACTTCAGATGATGGCTGCGTCCTGTGCGACGACCGCACTTCAGGGAGATGACGAACTTCCGGTGATTGACGAAGTTCACCCGAGTGCCCGGTGTCGTTCTGCACCATAACCCATTCCTGGTTGGGACTTTCCTCTTCACTGTGATAATGGTTCTTGACACGCGAGCGTTCGTTGGAAGAATCCATTCGAGGGCGCCAGGACCTGCCCTCGAGCGGTCGACGAGACGGTGGATAATCTTCCGACGCAACCCGGGCGTGGATCTGTGTACCAGGCGGCGTGACATTTTCATCCTCGATTTCGAACGTCGCTCGGTTCGGCGAAAGCGGAGGAGGAGGCGGAGGCACGGGCATGATGTTTCCATATCTGTCCACCAGCACGGTCGCGTCTCGGGGCAACGGCGACGACGACCTCGATGGAAGCGGAGATCCGGCCCGAGCAGGCAGCGGTCTCCCGTTGGGCACAGTGAGACTGGCTGGAGGTGCCCTATCTTTCTCAAAGTCCGCATCGTATCCAGTCGTTTCTGAGGCCAGATTCTCGCTGGCAGACGACATGCTTCCATTACGGGATCGAGACATTCGTCGTGGCTTGAGAGGTCCATGCGTCGGAGGTGAAAAGGGCACAAATGGAGGGACCATGCCCGTCGGAGATAGCGCGCTGTTGAGAGGAGGGAGAGGTTCATGGACACGAGCAGAGGAATGCGAGACCAGAAGTTTCAAGGATCCTTTTTCGTCACCAAAATCCCGGCACAGACTGAACAGCTTCTCGTCGGACAACGCATCACTGGTCGCGAGACTGCCTATTTCGGTGCGGTAAATTGAAAAGTAGGACTGGTCCTCGTCGTCGTAGATGTTGAGCTTCAGAAGTAATGGAATCAGAGTCTAAAGGAGATAGATCACACAGTATTAAAGACACGCACCTTGGTGAACACGCGCTCGCGGATGAATGCAGGATTAGATGCTCCACTGATATCCACATTCACATAACGTTCCGAGTCAGCCGTTACAAGGATGAGGACGCGATCTGCGACCTTATGTGTCGACGATTGAGATGTGTACGAATCCGGGGTATTGACTGTCGGAGAATGAGACGGAAGCTTGCGGGGTGATGTGATGGGAATGCGAGGAAGGCGTGTGCGCGGTGGAGGATGTGGAGGATGTGAGAGGGTAGCATGAGGCAACATAGTGACTGTTGAAGGAGACGTATACGAATGGGGAGGGATTGCCTGCTCCAATTTATCGGCCTTGTCTGTGCGGTCCGAGTCAATGTCCAGGCCAGGAGTAGACGGAGGTGGCGTCGAATGAGTGGACTCGTCGGCCGCTGGATCACTGGTTGTCGAGGGCGAAGATAGTGAGGACGGATGAGATTGCATGCGGCGCGTGGTGAGAGGTGGTGGTGGACCTGGAGTCGGGGGAAGAGGTGGAGGGACATAGCCCCGGTAAATGCCATAGGAGGGGCGCCGGCTCTCCTCATCTGAGCTACCCGAGTCAGGATTAACGACAACTAGCTGAGGCTTTCGTTTGCGACCGCCAACTTCCGAAGCCATTGATTAGACTGGGAACGACCATCAGTATCAGGGTAAGTATAAGCCACGGAGAATATGACGGGACAAGAAGTGGACGTGTCACAGGTCGAGGGGAAAGGTATCGAGCGAGACGGTACACACCTGTGAGGAGAGTGGAGATGTGTAGCAAGCTGGTCGGCAAGGTCTAGGTGAGATGAATGTCAGTAACAATGCAGGTAACGGGAGGCAAAATAAAACGGCAGTGTCCCGCGAAGACGCAAATAAGCGAAATGAGACGATGCAGGTGATGGAGGGTGTGTAGATGGTGGATGCAAGAAAGTGCGAGGGTCTCGAGCCAACGGATGTACACACCGCGGGGCCGACTTGAGCGAGGGCTTGTAGATGTATACGATCGAAGCGCCACAAGCACGGAACTCGCGGGATTGAGAAGTCGAAGACTGCACCAGTGAATGCAGACGAGCCCACACCAGGAAAGCGATTCGGTCAGTTCATGCTCTGGTGGAATGCCGACAAACAAGTACAACACAGACTGGCGTAGTTAGTATGCAAAGTGATCAAATCAATCATTTACATCCGTCACCGGATCCACTGTGGTCAGATACCATTTGGACTATACTATGGTACACATATACAACGAGAGAAGGTACAGAGATCCAAGAATTTCTTATAGTTCGAGACGTGGAAATTCGGCTCGTTCTTCCAACATGCTTTCGCCCCAGGTCATAAGCTTCAGTAAGCCCACCAATTTGGCCTCCTTGCCCTGGCTCATGCTCTCGAGAATGGCCGCGTTGACCTCACCTGCTGTCTTCATTCGCTGAGTGGGTGAAAGCAAGTCGGCAATACCATGAGGAGGGCTCCCGGACATATCGAACGCCAGCAGAGCCATGGTGCGCTCCAATTCTGACAGAAACTCCGGCCTTTCTTCTCCCCTACGTGCCAGCTCGTCCTGCGCGAACTGCAGTGCTTCAGATATTTGCCCGCGCCGGATGTATTCAATCAGTCGTTGTTGTTGAAGATGAAAGAAGAGAGCTGGATTGGTGTCTAGGATCTACGAACGGAACATTAGGACCGATAACAATATCAGTGAACAGGGAAACGCGAGAAATCATATTGAAGACTGAAGTTTTGGTTTTCTGGTCTCATCACCGACCCCGAAGGGTCTGAGAGTGGTGCATGAAAGATTCTAATCCTAAGATGATAGTGAAGAGACGATGCGCACCTCAGGGTTGAGATCATTCACACGAGTGATCGCGTCCTCAACATCCCCCCGCTGCAGGGCGTCACGAATGGTCATACGGCTTTCGATAGTGTCATAGTCGACAGGCGGAGTGAGACTAGCTTCTTGGCTGAATTCCTCTGCGGCAGACTTGTAACCTTGTATGACCAGATAATCCATAATCAGTCGATTGAGGTCTCTGTAAATCGGTGTCAGCATTCTGTCCGATGCAATGGTTGGAAGTTGAAAATGAAAGTTCAGTAAATGTATGTCAATTTGCCTCCTCAGGGGATTCAGAGAGATTCCCAATTGTGTTTATCATCCGGGCAGGATGATGATCAGAAACGCTACTCACTGCTTGGTGACATGAGCTTCATGAAGTCGACGGTCCCATTCTTCAGAGCGGATCTGAACCTTGGGCTGGCGGTTTTGAGATGCCTAGTATACGAAGAGCGCGGTCTATGGGTCAACCACGAGCAGCAACATGCGTGGCTGTAGGGAAGAACGAACCATGTAACTGCAATGAAAAAGATGGGACTTTATACGCGGTCGACTTAGCCAAATCAGGACAAACAACTGTCAGTGTTACGGCCACGTGAGGTGATTGTAATTTGAATGACTTTCAGGCGGGCAGACTGTAAGTAACCCTACAAGTTTCAGCCAATTGCTTAGATTCAAGAGGCTAAGAACGGGGGCTTCGAAGTTGCAGACATGTAGTGCTATACCATTGGCAGCATCAAAGCAAATTGTAAGTAGCACTTCAAGATCGGTTTCTGGTAGGCTCGATAACCACGGTCGACCTAAAGGACATCCGTGGTGCACCGGAATCGGGATTGCACGATTATGCCTTCGACACTATGCCTCCGCCGCGAATCATGTCGAAGAAATCATCCTTGTTAACCGTACCTGTGAAATCGATTAGAAACAGGCTTGGAGTGTGGAAGGCTAAACCCACTCTCTTTCGCCCGCCCGAGCATATTGTCTTTTTTCTTGCTCTTTCTCGATTTGTTATCGTCCATTACAGGTGCTGGCAGTGTTGGTTTTCCAGTTCCTCTGTTAGCTTTATGTTCTTCAGCTGCAGCCGATGCAGATGCTTGGGTCTGCTGTATGGCATTGAACAGCTTGACCACTGGCGGGTTTCAACTAGGAGCTTGATAGCACGAGTGACGACGAACCTCCTCGTTGGGCAACCTTGCGTAAAGCCCGCTCACTTTCTCCTCCCCAACCCCCAATCACATCGGCTATGTGCCCTTTGTCTTCCTTCTCCTTCCGTTCAACCTGCAGCACTTTCTTCGCCCGTATCTCAAGCTTCTCGTCGTTCCGTTTTCTTGATATGGACGGCTTTAGAGATAGAGGAAGAGCAGATGGGGCATCGGTGCTGAGAAGAGACTGGAGCGTTGCTCCGAAAGCCGTTGTTCCTGAAGCACGGATTTTTCGCTTCTTCGTCTGCTGGGACTTTTGTGGTTTGAGATTTTCGATTCCTTCGGAGTTCCCGCTTTCAGCTTCAGAGTCCGACTCGTTTACGGACAGGCCCTCGGAGGCATCGCTTTCATCGCCTTGTTCATTCTGAGACGCATTCGAAGATTGGCCATTGCGATCTTCGGGTTCTAAGAGTCGTAGTCGTTTGGCTGGAGGAGACATTCTTCTACTACTACTGTTTGGTCATGTGTGTCCACCAGGATCCTGACTTCGTTCGCCCTTGACCCGTATTTCGAGCTTCGAGTCTAAAGGTTAACCGTTTACACTACTTAATTCTCACTCCCGACAATCCAACCATTCGGAGGGACCTGCATTTCATTCTGAAGATCACAATTCAGTCAGGTTCGGTGCTGGCACCGTAGCGCAGAATGGATCTTTCACCGGCACCCGACCTCCACCCTCTCTATCCCAATACCACTCAGATCGCGGAATCCCTTGCAACCGACTCCGGTTTGACGCCAGATGAACGTGCGGAGTTGGTTCATCATTGTATCGCGCGCGCGTGCGCGTTCGGAGAACTTTCTGTGATGCAGTTCCTTATCTCGAACCCGCAGGCCCAACAATATGTGGATCTCGGCTTCCGCGATGAGGATGGGACTGGGCTCGTCAGTGCGACTATTCACGGTTTCGGGGCGGAATCCGAGCATGATGTAGAGCGTGAGGAGGTCACGCGTCTGCTCGTTGCGCAAGGAGCAGATTTAAGTGCCGACAAAGGTGCGTTGCTCGATTCTTGGTGACCTGAAATGCTCCAACGCAAAGTACTACTACATAGCTGGATGGACTCCATTACACCACGCGGCGCTGTTATCCCCTCCCACACTCATCTCGTATCTGCTGACACACGGCTGTTCACCGTTTGCCCTGACGCGTCGCAAGCTCACTCCGCTTGACATTGTCACTGCTCACTCGACTCTGCCCGGCCGAGAAGATGTTGCATTGCTTCTGGAAGAAGCTATGCGTGGAGAGGGTTGGACAGGTGGGAAGATGGGGGAGAAACGCAGGTTATTCGATGAGAAACGACGAAGGAGAGAGAACTATCGCTTGGTTTATGAAACTGTCGGGAAGACGTTGGGGGTCGGATCGAATTGGTGGTCCGATGGGGACTCGACGGATTCCGAATCTGGCGATGAAGAAGTTGACGATGCGGTCTATGTGAGTCCTCTCTTCCTTTAGGCGAGCGTCAATCTGATCATAGTCAGACTCCTCCCGCAGACTACTCATCCATGCTTGTTTTCTCGCCCCCCGCACTTCCGCAGATATTCGAGTCTCTGATCACGAATTTTCAGCCATCCTTCCGTAGTTGCCAGCCGGCGAACAGCCTTTACATGCTTGCTAGGTTCGCCTGCTTAACATGCGATCATACTTGGCTGGAGGACTTGATCATCGGGGCAACAGACGCGATTGAGGAGACGTTCTTTGTAAAGCCATCTCTGCCACTTCGTTCTCATTCTCATTCGAATACGCTAGGATCGCGCCGATGATATTACCTGTCTCGTTTTCTGGCTCCGAAACACGACGGTTTGGCTTCATCTTTTGCGGTATGTGTCACAACAGGCCCGATGTCCAGCTGACGCGTCGACAGTTGCGACAATTCGATCAACGAGGCATGTGAAATGCTGGGTTCTTTTGAGCTCATAGAGGAAGTGATCAATTCCGTGTTTGGTATGTGCCATTGCACGCTCATGGTCATGGCTCGCTGATCTAACAGGTGTTAGTTTTCATCATTCGTTTTGCCGAACGCCGAATAGATCAGCTTCTGGAACCAGCCATTCTCGATTACGCTCCTGTAGGGGCAGAAATAGACTCGATCCAATTTGAGTCGGATTGGTCCTTCCTGCGGTCTCTCACAGGGAAGAAAAAGACCCAGGCAGGACCTCCACCTTCGAGCATGCGAACTGGGACCGGGACCACGGCACCTGCACCGTCCAGCCCGAATCGTCCCCCGTCACCATCCCCGAGCGTTTCTCCCTCCACTTCGCGTGGCTTTTCGTCCCTGAAACAGACTTTCTCGCGAGCCCGATCCGGATCTTCCACGACACCCCTACAAGCATTGTTCGCTGAAGGTCCTGCAGTGACGTCGCCAGTGGAGATCACTTCCTTCATCACTGCCCTGCACACCTTATTCACCCTTTCGGAAATCAATCCCGCTCTCACAACACAACTTTGGTCTCAGGTCACGTACTGGACATCTTGTGAGGACTCCCTCGCTTCTTTTTACACATGTTCTCAAGGCAATCAGGCGAGATGTTCAACCGAATCCTAACACGCAAGAAATATCTGTGTCGGTGAGTCAGTTTTGCGCTTTTGACGTTGTTTCTCTGACCTTCTCCCAGCTCCCGGGCCGCGCAAATCAGCATCAATCTAGGACTGCTTGAAGAGTGGATTCTCGACATGGGCCTTCCTCGTGGTGTGCAGGCACATTTCAGCCCTGTTCGAGATCTTCTTGCTTGGCTCGGTGTAGGTCTTGAAGCCGCTGATCATTTCCCAACTCATTCCCATGTAGTGCCTTTCATCCATCACAGAGTTTTCTGAGCTCGTGGGCACGATCCAGACTCTGTCCCATATCAATCCTTTGCAAATGCGTCGGGCAGTGCGCGAATATCGATTCGAAGTCAATGAGACTCGCATGTCAGAGGAGTGTGTCCAGTACCTAACTCAGCTCCAGAAGGACTGGGAAAGGCGACGAGTCAAGCTCGGGGTAGAAGCACTACGGAAAGAAGTGTGTCATCAGTTGTCCTCTCGTACCGGAAACTCAATAAAGTCAGAGGGACACAGATCGGGACAGTGTTTCTTCGTTCGCGACTGAAGGACCGGCCTCGGTGACTCCGTCTATCGCGTCGTCGGATGTATCTGCTGGGCAGCAAGGTGTCGACATGTTGTTCGAGCGCTCGCAAGATCCTTCAGGCTGGGAACCAGCCAAACCGCCTCAAGTGCTGGGTGAACTGCTCGATTCTCGTCACATGCTTCCCCTGTCTTTCCCTTCAGATCCACGAATGCTGTCTGTATTGCCGGGTCGCCTCGTCTTTCCTGATGATCGAGCTAGTATTTTTTCACCCGACTCTCGCAGCCCGAACGAGCTCTTGATGCCGTGGCGGTCCAGAGACAGGTCGTTGCGGCAAGTGGGGATCCGCACACTCCAGTGGGTGGATGGAGTTCGCTCAGCAGCTCGCTGGCAGCGTCGGGCTGCCGATCCGGACGACGACGAGCAGCGTGCGTTCACCCCCCAGACGCACGACACTGATCTGCCTGCCGAGGAGCTCACAGTGGACACCCACATCACACCACTCACCAGAAAGCCTTCCGGGCGAAGAGGCAGACAAAGTCAGGGTGGAGACCCGGAGGCCACGCCCGTCGATCATCCTTAGCATACTTTATCTCATTCACCACCAATCTTAGCATTCATTCATGTACCGGATACCGGACCCTCGTCGCTTTCATAGATCTGTACTCTCGGTTGTTCTGGTTTCGAAGTCTTAGCCCTGCCAGGCTGATGGCTGTGTCGGAGCCGTTTCACCGCCGCCTTGAGGCCGTACTTCAAGTTCCTCTCTTCCGCTTTCCCTCACACAATGGCTTCACCTGGTTATGACCATTATACTTATACGCCCACATCTGACGTGAAACAACATCCACACAATTATGACGCAGTGCCGGAATTCCCTCCGGAAGACGAAGCCTTCAATCCTGCCACAATTCCCAAGGCGTACGCAGACGACCCTTACGAGACGCAAGGCCACTATCAGGACGAGGAGACTGGGAAGCACACACAACCCAGCCACGGTTGGAGGACCGCCAGCGAACCGGCGGTCGAAGACCCTGCAGCCTCGTTGGTGCATAATGCGGGCAACGCTGGTCAGAATTACCAGAACATGGGTATGCCCCAGTCTCGCGACCTTCTCGTTCACTCTTGGTCAACGTCGTGCAGAATATTCCGATCCCTATAGCGCGGATGCAGCTAAACCGGTAGCAGCACAGGGAGCAACGCCCATCTCGAGGTTCATGGGGTTGACCGAAGGCAATGACGCGCTGCAGCGAAGAATAGACATGAAGAGGCGAGGTATTGGTAGACAGCAATACCCATATGTCGGTACGTGGAATGGCAACCGCCACTGTTCCTCTGCTCACCTACCGTAGTATGGATTCTGACGCTGGCGATGGTGAGCTCAATTTGCTCGATGGAAGGCCGAACATTGAGCCATGCCCACAGGTCATCACCTTTGTAATTGAACTCGTGGCCAACAAGAAAGCCCAGGGCTCGCCAGTCTCATTCAAGGTCCGTCGGCACACTGTCCTCAATTCATGCCTTCTGACCTTTCTTCTACGCTAGCCCGTCGTGAATTACATGATCGGACCCTCGAGCACTGTCTTGATTAACGTCGGTGCTCGATTTCCACCCTGTATGAAACTGGTGGACGCTGTTCCCCCGACTATGGCGATCGGTTGCACCAATAACACTGCGAACCCTCCGACTGAGATATGCACAATTGCAGACATCTGTGGATTTGGTGGAGTGAGCGCCCAGGCCCCGAATCAGTGGTTCCGGTGAGTTCATGCGTCACCCGTGTTCCTTAGCATTGACCCATTGCTTTCACGCAGATTTATTCTCCCAATCTTTTTGCACGCAGGCGTCATACATCTTCTCCTGAACATGCTCGCGCAACTGTCTGTTTCTGCCCAGGTTGAGCGAGAGATGGGCAGCGCCGGTTTCTTGATTACCTATTTCGCAGCTGGGATCTTCGGGTCAGTCAAAGCGTCACTCTTGCTGCGGACATTGATTGATGTACGGAACAGCAACGTCCTTGGTGCCAATTTTGCCCTAGTAGGACGACCTTCCGTCGGAGCCAGCGGTGCGATATTCGGGACGGTTGCAGTACGTTGTCAGAACTGGTGAAACGACAGTCGTTGACGGTTACAGCTAACGTGGGTCGATCTATTTGCTCATTGGAAATATCATTATCGTCCGGGGCGAAAAGTGCGCAGCCTGAAACTCGACGTCTCTCGGGACTTACGATTTCCAGCTACTCTTCATGACCATCGAGCTTCTCATTGGAGTCGCGATCGGTTACATACCTTACGTGGACAACTTTGGTGTGTACACGCGGCCGGCCGTCACTCATTCTGACTGATGTTCATAGCTCACCTGGGGGATTCTTGATGGCTCTGCTAGTGGGAACAGTTTTCTATCCCATCATTTCTGTCAGCAAACGGCACAAGATCATCACCGGCTGTGCACGTCTTGTTGCGCTTCCCATAGCCGTGGTGCTCTTCGTCGTTCTCATCCGCAACTTCTACACGGCCGATCCGTACTCTGCATGCCAGGGTTGCCGCTATCTCTCGTGCTGGCCGACTGCGAGCAACAATCATTGCCAAGGGACGGGTTTGACGACATCATCGAGCTCTATCTGAGCCGAGCATTGGACTTGTAATAGACACACACCGGACTTTTCAAGCACTCGTCTCATTAGCCACATATGTATTCCAGTAAACATACAATTGTTCAATGATGAATAGTTGAAATCTTTCTCCATTTCCCGGGCGGTCGATCAGCCGATCAGTATAATTTGTTGCGATCGACACCAGCGCGATGCATTCGTGCTTGCTAGTCAGCCTCAGCATTCGACGTCCTGTGGGCAGCCTCGAGCAGCATTCGGCTTGTTGCAGACTCTGCGACACACCCAGGTCCCACCAGCCCTTTGGCTGAGATATGTCCCAGCTCTATTGGCAGACCGGGAGCATTCTCTTCAGCGTCATTGCTGTCCTGCTCCGTTATGCCCTGTTCGGTCAGTGTGTATCATTGATTACCTTATTACCTCCACCAATGAATCCCTCTGCTCAGACCAATTCGATCCCTCGCGCTGTGAGGCCCTGACCCACCAAGGAAGCTGGTTGGATCACAAATTAACCCGTTGGCAACCCCATGGTGGTTCAACTTCGTATCACCCGCTCCAAGCGCGAGTTGACCCGGAATCTCAGGTTGCATGCTTCATGAATACCGACCCCAGGACGGCTCAAAGTGTTTGGGCGGCGGAGAGGTGGTCTTCATCGGAGACTCGGTTACTCGGAATCTGTTCTTCCAGGTGCGTGCATCCCCCATCACGCGTCACACAGTATTCTAGACGATCGGTAGTTTGCCAGCATACTTGACCCGAGTATCCAAGGTTCCCCTGTTGGGGACGAGTTCAAGCACCAAGACCATTCCGTGCGAACGAAGTCCGGCACGAACCTCTTCTTCGCGTGGGACCCCTTCTTGAATGGCACGAAACTTAACACTCTGCTCTACGCAGAGCTGCTCAAGGAACAAAAGCCAGCACTGTTAGTGGTGGGTGGAGGCTTGTGGTATCTTCGCTACGCGCCGACATCTGGGGGTCTACCCGCCTACGAAGCCAACACCGAAAAGTTATTCCACCGTCTCGGAATCCAATTCCCCGCGGACGAGGTGGTCATGCTCCCGATTGAAGATATCGTCACCTCCAAGCTCTCGCCGGAACGGGCGGGAACTATGCACCACTCTGATATCGACGCCATGAACTCTGACCTGATCCACCGCGTCAATCCCTACACCGGACAGTTTCCTAACCTGTTGTCTGGAAATCGAAGAACCTCTCCCGTTTGGCTGCCTATGGTCTTCAATCAGGTCAGTCGCGACGTTGCCGGGGATCCGACTCATGTATTGACGCGCATCGGAGATGTTGCATCCAGCGGCGACTGTCGACGGAATTCATTTCTCGGACTCGCTTGTGAAGACCCAGGCCAACATTCTTCTCAATCTCCGTTGCAACAACGAGCTCCCCAAGCTTCCTCCGATGGATAAAACGTGTTGTCGGAGTTATCCGAACCCTGTACCGGTCCAGGCTCTCATCTTGGGAACGATCTTACTATGGGGTCCCGTGGCACTCTATACACTGCGTCATCGAGGTGAGCTTGGTCTGCATCGCTTGTTCGGCGCTTGGTATTGAATGCCTGCAGGTCCTTTGGCTTCTCAAGATGGCCTCAGGTCCGGGCTGATTCTTAGCGCCGCTCTAGCCATCGTCTATCTCGCAGATCGCAGTGGTCTGTGGCTCAAAGAACACAAAAACTATTCGCCGACCATGTTTGGGGGGCTGAGCATCTTTGCGGTAGTGGCAGGGCTGTATACCATGAAACGAGGAGACAAAGACCTCGGATTCTTGAATCGCGATCAAACGGACGAATGGAAAGGATGGATGCAACGTACGTCGTTGATGGTTCATTCTCTCGATTTCGGAGGCTGAATGATCGATAGTCATGATACTAATATATCATCTTTTGGGTGCATCGAAAATTTCTGGCATTTACAATCCTATCCGGGTTCTTGTGGCCTCGTATCTATTCATGACTGGCTGTGGGTTGTCATCCCCTCATTTTCCGGACTAGAGAGCTCATCTCGGCTCACTCAGACGGCCACGTTTCGTTCTATCTTTTGAAAGCGGATTACAGTTTCTCGCGAGTTGCGCAAGTCAGCTGATCCATCTCTGGTGCCTTCTGGGGCTTACCCTCTACAGATCCTAGTGCGGACTAATATACTAACGGTGCTACTTGCATTTGTGATGGGCACCGACTACATGCTCTACTATTTTTCAGCTCTGGTCACCTTTTGGTTTCTGGTAACATACGCAACGATGGCCGTCGGCGCTCAGTACAACACTCGGACACCGCTCTTGGTCGCCAAATTGACACTTGCTTGCATTGCAGTCGCCTTGGTCGCCAAACAAGAATGGCTTACGGCTGCTCTGTTCGACCTACTGGAACGGGTCTCTGCCATCCGGTGGTCCGCAAGGGAATGGGGTTTCCGCGTCACTTTGGACCTTTACATTGTGTTCGTGGGTCAGCTGGCGGCCGTCGCTGTCATCAAATGCCGCGAACACAAGCTGGTGGAGCATCGGCACTGGCCAACTCTCGTCAAAGGCGCCACTCTATTGTCGGGTGTCGTGCTGGTCTGGTTCTTCGCCTTCGAGCTTGGGCAAGAGTCCAAATTCACATACAACACATGGCATCCGTATATTTCGTGGCTGCCGGTGCTTGCGTTTGCAGTCTTGCGAAATGCGACTCCAGCACTGCGATCCATGTCCTCGGATGTGTTCATTTGGGCTGGCAAGTGCTCCCTCGAGCTGTTCATCCTGCAGTTCCACTTTTTTCTCGCCGCAGACACCAAAGGCGTTCTCGTCGTCATCCCCGGCCCGCAATGGAGACTGCTCAATCTGCTAGCGACTTCAATCGCCTTCATATCTATCTCACATCTCGTCGCGGAAGCCACTGGGGACATCACCAAACGCATTTGCGTCTCCGATGTTACCCGCAGCGTATTGCCGGTCACTGCGGCCACAGACGAACAAGAAAAAAACGAACAGAGTACAAGCGGCCTGTGGTGGTGGATCCAGCAGAGGTTACCGCGGAGACTGCTCGTCATTCTCGGACTTTTGTGGATAGCAAATGTAACCTGGCGAATAGGCCAATGAAATTCTAATACTAATAGCGGACTACAAGTAAAAAAGGACGTCTGTTCTATGATGGCAGGGACGCACTTCCTGAAAATTCTGGTCAGCACTCAAATCAAGGAAGAGACCACGAGAAGATCAGAATTAGCATGAAATATTTTGGTTGTTTCGACATTCGTTGTTAGCGTCAGGACTTGACTCTATGTTACGCATCCTAGGATGATGGATGGAAAGAAGAGACTCACCATGTGAACAGACTAGCGACAGACAGACAGAAGGGATACATACAGTGCCTGGGATGAAAAGGTCAGAATATAGTCGAAGATGGATCACAAGGATCAGAAATTTGGGTATAATAAGAAAAGTTCATCGGCTCGGAGGCCTCGAAGTAGCGATTCTTGTTTTGTCTCTTCATAAAAGCAGACAAGGAATCAACATACCGTCTGTGCTGGATCGACATGCAACGAGGCGGAAAAAACAAGGACGCAAGTGACGTGACAGTTGGCAGCCAGTCCTTTTATAGCTCAGCTCGTGTCACTGATATGATTGGCTAGGTTTGGCTTGGCCAAGAAAGGCACGTGCTAAACTTCCGCTAATTCCCCTCGTTCCTCTCTCTCATTCTCATGGCCAATGTTCTCGATTTCCAGCCTCGACCCGTAAACCATGCACCCTCTCAGTTCGGTTTTGGCTTTGGCCTAGGAGGACCCGTTGTCGCCCCCTCAGCATGGCCATCCGCTATCACTCCCGCCTCTCCCTTTCATCAGCTCTCCTCTACCTCGTACAATCAGCCTTCACCATCCCGAGTGCAGAAGAGGCGTCATGAAGAAGACGAGCCAGTCACTCGTGATCACTCAATGGACAGAAGCCCGACGCCCGAGCGTCCCAAACGTTCTGTTCCAAAGCGGGCCCGGGTGGCAGATCCTGCGGCGAAAGACGACAAAGATGCAAAAGAGAACCGATCTCCGAACGAATCTCGTAGGGAAGACGATATTGATGTTGGTGTACTTTTGGGTGAGCGCAATGGCCCTTCATCATACCTCGTGTCTAATTCAGTGCCCGTCTGCAGCCAGCCTCCCCTCACAATCGCTTCTAACCGCTCCTCACCTCTCTCATTGCCTCTGAACCGGCACTCAAGCCACGCATTCTCTCGTTGATACCAAGACCAACTTTGGAGACAGCGACACAAGTGCTTGCGACCTCGTCCCGGAAGCTCCGAGACGCCTATCCTTATTCAATGAACGTCTCTCCAACGCAACCGCTGGTTTCGACAGGATTCGGTTTCGGAAATGCACGGTCGACTTTGAGCCCGTTCGGACGTTCGCCTCCTCCTCAATCTCCATCTTCCTCCGCATTCCCAGCAAACAACGGGATGCGGGACTCTTACGTTACATCCAGAATGCGACCGCATATTGAAGATTTCGTGGCTGCCGCGATGTCGTATCTGCCCTACTTCTCATGCTGTCACAGACAACAGAGGCCGCGTCATCTCAACCCACGTTACATCTTTGTGAAGAGCACGTGCATCCATCCGAAACCTACTCGTTTCTTCTGTCAGCGCTGACAGAGCACCTGCTGTCGCAACCGCAACTCACACAATCATCTCTCCAACCTCTA